TTTAATTGTTCAGCTTTTCTAGAAAAATGTTTTTCAACACAGCAGGAAACAGAATAATAAGGCTTTCTGCTGGTCCTACATTTTTTCCTGGATGTGAGTCTGTGCTTTCAGCAGACTGTAATTGGAACGTCTGGGCATGTGACCTTGTAAAATTTGTTGCTGACCTCAGAGAAAGAGGTGTTTTGGTCAGTAACTTAAACTGGCACAGAGTGGACAGAGTCAGGCTGTCCTTGCTGCTTAAATGGCAATTATGTGTGAGTTGTTTTTCTCTTCTATTTCAAGCCTCTAAATGGCTTCATATGTGGATGGGTGAGGAGTCCCGTGCTGATGCAGGTTGGCCAAATTAGCTCCATTGTAGCCACAAAGGGAAGCCAAATGAAGACATTTTACTGTGCATTTTTATATGTGACAGCTTTACTGTCAGAACTCAATGGCTGCTTGGGGCATAAACGCCTCTGAACGCTGATGAAATAATAGTCGATTTACAATCTGCCACGGCAAACAGGCGCTGATATTTTAGGGAACAATTTTCATTTTTAGTCTGATACATGTTGGGTTGTCAAATGTTCCTGTTTGAACGTCACTGCTGTTCCCTGTGGGCCAATAAAGGGGGTTCCTGAAAGCCTGTGACTCAGAGGGAAGATTCTCAGTGTGGCAGTGAACATTTTCTATTTTTTTTTTTTATCAGAAAACAATTATGTACATATTCTGCAAAGAGCTAACGTGGAAGTTGTGCTCAAAAAAATGTTGAAAAACAACAACCTGAATGCGCATGGATAGTTTGAAGGCAGAGTGATAAAGACAACACAATCTTCTAGAAATAAAGTGAGGAGTCAGTCTGTTCAAATAAAATGAAATCTAAGGAAACAAAATAAGTGCATATCTGCCTTTGTGATCAATAGAGATTCATTCAAAGTGCCACAGACCACACATTGAGTGGCGAAAAATTGTTCTCATTTTGATTGTTGTTTAATTAAAATCATATGTTGTCTATGTCCAAGTGTGTGTTAGTGGGTGCACATAAACTCCATGTCCTTTTTAAGGCCCCTATATGTCTTTTATCATTGCATGCGTTGAGAAAAAGCACAAACACATTTCCCTTAAGAGGACCAGAATGCTAAAATAAAAGATGCTTACATACTGTTCAGTGAATGTGCACTGCATATATGTGTGTGTGTGTATGTTTATACTTTTGTACTTTAGTAGTTTTAAAGCATCCGATATTGAAAAGTGGGACATTAATAGCCTGGTCCTCCCTGATTGAATGATGGTTGATATGAAGATTCATAACTTAAAGGTAGAGTCAGTAGAATTTTCCTTTTTTTTTGTGATCAATTTTTTATTTAGACATGTACAAAGAAAAAAATAATACCATATATTTCACACGTTTTACTTTTTCTGCCCCCCACCCCTCCTAGAGCTCACACAAACATGTACAAAAGTGGATTTGTGCAAACGTCAGGATCAATCACACTTCAAAACCTTCGCCCCACCCCCATGTTTTTCAAAATTTGATTTAGACTATAGCTGTTTCTCTCCTTTTCTCGTCTTAATGCTAAACTAAGCTAATCACAACCTGGCTTAACTTCATTAGAGAACAGACATAGGACTGGTATTGACCATGTCATCTAACGCTTAATGTTTCACTTTAAAGGGTTTGAGTTTGGGAGGTAGGGGTTGCATCGTGTCACTAGCGGTCCACACAGGGAGTACAGCATGGGGATGAATATGACAACTGGTGATGGATGTTGCCGTGTGTGTGTAAGTGTGAGTGTTTGTGTGTCTGACTCTGTGTGAGATTGGGGAGTGCTCCAGGAGTTAATCCTGGATCTTTTCATAGATCCTGGTTTCATTTCAATGACAATGGCAGATCAGCGTCAATTACTGCGTCTTTGCATCATAATCCAGAAGGCTGATAACAAAGCTAGCTTTTAGCCTCTGAACACGAGGTGACATTTAATTACTACAACTTAGTATGTGTGTTACTTTTAAATCCATCCATCCATCCATCCATTTATCCACCCCTCCATATTTCCATACATCCATTCATATATCTTTCTATCCGTCTGTCTCGTCAGTTTTCCTAATGACTAAATTCTCCATGGTGATTTTCAGTGGGAGTTTTTCCCCTCCTCTTCTCCTTCCTCTGGCTGTTCATTTATTACGAAAGGCCCTGGATTTTGTGTGTGTGTGTGTGTGTGTGTGTGTGTGTGCTTGTGTGCCTGTGTGTGAGAGGTCAGTGGGGAGTGAGGCTCCTCATAATCCGGTAATCAAACCAGCTGCCACCCGACCCAACCCCCACTCCTCCACCCATCCTCTCTCTCTCTCTTCATCTCCTTCTCCATTTACTCAGGCATCCCTCTGTGTTTGTCTTTGTGTTTCCTACATCCTCTTGTTGGGTCTTTTTCTACCTCTATCCATCTTAAGAATGATTCCTTTTTACTTCCTTCCTTCCATATATGTTCATTAAGTCAACAAACAGAAGTGAAAGATCAATTATCTATCTGAGAGAGTAAATTATTATTGACCAGTAGGTTATGAAATACTCTATTTACAGTGCTTTTGTTCTCTCCTTTTAATAATTTTTTAGTTAATATCTACTAACTTCCATCTCATTTCTTCAATCATGTCCTTCTCCATCACCTCCTTCGCTTTTCCCAGTTTTTAATAAACCTCCTTTGCCCTCCGTCGCCTCTCCGTGCTTCCCTGTGTCAACATCCTTCCCTCGTCTCTTCCACCTATCACCCTCCATCCATTGCTCCAAGGCATCAGTCTATCTTTACCGTTTTTCTCTCTTTAATTCCTCCACTCGCCATGCCCTTTATGCATCCAGTCCCCTCATTCCCTCTGTCTCATTGTTCACCCTGCTTCACCTTCTCTATCTGTCGCTATTGCAGAAAATTGTTTCCTCATGCCGGTGTGGTCATGTGCATTTGTATTCTTTTATAGCTTATTAAGCCCGCCTATTGCAACAAATAGCTTTACGATATACAATAAAGCCAAGCAGCGGATTGTGTCTGTAGGCAGTGTGGATGAATCATGTCTTGTGTCTGTTGTTGAGACATATTGTTGTGTTTGTGTGAGCTGGGACCCGCTGTGTTTTATATGAACTCATTTTGTAGCGATGGGGTTGAAAGAAAAGAAGCCCCCTGTTCAATCTGTAACCAAAGCTGAATTGTGAGGAGACAGGGGAGATGAGGATGATGTTTTCTACACGAGAGCACTTTGTAATAACTCTTCTTCTCTCTCTCTCTGTCTGTGGCTTGTTCAGTCATGTAAAAGATGAAACAAACTTCCCTAGCTCATGAACACATAAAGGTTTCAGAGAAAAAAAATGTGGGTTTTTCCTTCTACATCATATTAGCCTATTAAATAGACTTTGTGATCTTTGTTTAAACTGATGCAAAATGCCTTTTAAAACCATAAATGTTTTATGAAGCATGTCTGATGCATGACATGGCGATCCATCAGAGAGCTGGTTGTTTACAGATGATGGCTAAGGAATGTGTGACAGAACATAGCATTCATTTTCTTTTTAGATATTATACTTAAATAAAGGACAGATGAGTAGAAAATTGTTGGCGTCCTTGACAAACTGTATACATTATTTTTCTCTAATTGGCTCGTATTTTCTACTTTAGCTGTCTAACCTCTACAGGTTGTCTCACTAGCCCCACATTTGCATAACAAACTGAAATATAGCACTCTTACTCTGACTGCTGTAACTACAAGCTTGATTGAAAACAGGCATATGTGCATTCGTGTTTCTTACTGCTCCCCAAGGACGGCTTCTGGCAGTATTTAGATTCCTTTCTAGTCGGAAAAGCTTACTGTAAAAATGCTATCTTTCATTTTAGAAAAAGAGGTAGTTACACGCACATCACATAGGTGCAGGGCAGTGCAAAAATAGCAAAACTGAGAAAGAAAGTCCCCATTAACTGATAGTTAATCTGCCATGGTCTGCTTAATATATTTCAAAAAAGCATTATCTGAGTATTTTTACTTCAAAATAGACATATTTTCTCTTACTGTGAAATGTTTCAAATGTCTGATGGCTCATCCTGCACTCAGGGGCATTTTTACATTTTTTATATGATAAAATCAAATTCATCCCCGGGTTATGACCCACCTTCTATCTTGTGATTGGTTCTATCTATTTCAGCTGGAAATAAGTCACGACACAGAAGTTAGATACTCCGACTGTGACACGCACAGATGAAATGTTCTGTTTCCACTTATCATATCTACTTTAAAGCCTTGGTACACCCACACAGGTGTTAGTGATTGAGACCTCTTCTCAGGAATATGTGGGTGTGGTCAAGTTTGTTTGACTGACAGCACCACTAACCTGTTCATTTTGAGAAAACTGTTTGGCAAGGAGGACTCGATGACCTGTTGTCATACTGCTTGGTGCTTAGAATGTATTACATCATAATTTCTCACCATAGCTGCACCTATTTCCCACCTGTCCTCCTACACAGTGATCAAAAACACCTATTTTGGTTTACAGAGGTTTTACTAACATTAACAACAATGAAATCACCTTGGCTTCAATCTTAAGTACTCGAAAAGAAGATTTGTATCCCGAGTAACAATTTGATTTGAATGCGTCTGACAATGTGTGATAACGTATTGGAGACAGTGTCCTGTAGGTACAGTTGTCCTAGCTGCATATCTCATGACATTGTTGTGACCTCCCCACCTTTTCTCCTCCTCTCTGTGTCCCACTCATTTATCTCTGTCCCTTTACCTCCGTCTCTCTTTGCTGTTTATCCCTGTCGTCCCCTGACTCTTCTCCCTTGTGCCTCCCCCTTAATCTATCTCCCTCTTCTTACTCATTCACCTGTTCACGCCTACCTATCACTCTGTGTCCTCTTCCAGCCCTCTCTCCATTTTCCCTTCTCCTCTAACTCTTTTGTCCACCCTCTGCTGACCCCATGATTGAACACAATATTCATTCACCTAACCTTTATTCTCTACTCTCTTCTTTTACTTTTCAGACGGCGTCCACAGCATTTCAGCCCAATGTGTTCTCCGCGTCCTCATCATCACCGAGGACATGCTGGGCAGCAGTGTCACCGTCCGTCTCCAGAACATGTCTCAGGAGCACTTCCTGTCACCACTGCTTGGTAACTTCTTGGAGGGCGTGTCGGCCGTTCTCTCTGTGCCTGTGGAGGATGTTTTCATCTTTAACATCCAGCCGGACCTGGACGCAGCACCAGGAGGGATCCTGAATGTCAGCTTCTCTGCAGCGTTACCAGGCGGACTCTTCTTTCCGTCTGATGCTCTGGAGGAGCAGCTGTACCTGAACAGGCCGAGGCTGACGTCACTGACGCAGATGGAGGTTAGTTACAACTTTAGTAAATACACATATTAAAACTGCATTTTCAAGGGCTAAAGGTTTGTGTATGTATCTTCTAAGAGAAAGAGGCTGAGATGCAAAAATACACATGAATAATATTTTTAGGCCCGATCAGTTGACTTGAAGTAAAAATGTAAAAATTACATACTTACAAGCTATTTCAAGACTTAAAATTTCAAATATATAAATCAAGAGCATCACAAACTTAGGTTTGGAGTATAACGTTTTTTCTATTTAACAGTTGAGGGAGAGAAAAAAAGTTTGTTTTAATTTTGGTCCGTGGTTCTTCTGCATTGAGATTATTCGATGTGCCTTTAATATTGGCTGATATGCATATTCTCATTTTCTTGTAAATTTTATCCAACAAAGGTTAAAGTTACTCCACATACAACTTTCTTGGAAAATACATATCGCTATCATGGCTGCACAGTCATGCACACATAAGCAGCAGCTGGAAATTTCTTACATTACATAAATGAAAAGCAAAAGTAGTGAGTAACATTGTGCAGACACACATGCATATCAGCTCAGTCACCTGAGCATATTGGATGTGGACAGATAATAATACAATCCAGATGCCATGTCAGTGCTGCAATATGACCATATGCAACAACACACTGATATGACCACTAGGCCTATATGTTTTTTTATGCATGAAATCACACACACCTGGACACAGCATGCTCATTAGTTCCAAGCACGCACATTCCCCTCTGCATCTCTACACACGCATGAGAGAATAAGAGATGTTTCGATAAAAGAGAAAAGGTAAAACCCAGAGGAGGGAATATTTATGAAGGGTCTGCAGAGAGCAGAGCAGTGTCAGGAGAAACATATTATAAGCCCATGTGCATGACCTTCTCTTAACAGACATTGTCATGCAAACACACATCAACACATGCAAACCAAGTATAAATCCTTGTCCTTGTCAGATCAGAAATAAGAAGCTGTAAATAGCCATCTCTGGAAAGTCAGTGGTTTTACAAAGCAAAACAGGGGCAATAGAAATAGAGGGGAAAAATTAAACAAAAGATAAGATAAATAAGGTAAACTTTGTTGAAACACCACAGGGAAATACATTTTTACAGCAGCTTGCAAAAATAGGGAAATAAATAGAGATAAAAAAAATAGCCTAATTTAAAAAGTATTAAATCTCAGAGTGACATTGATGCAATTATGCAACATTCCTTAAAACAAATCCCTTCAGAGTAGACCTCAAGGAGATGTCATCAAGATCTGAGCTGTTTAAACAAACTGGTGGTGTGCACTCCTTGGTAAAAAACAACAAAAAAAACCTTTAAATGTCAAGGGTGTGTTCCTGGATAGGGAAAGGGTACACACATTTAAAATAGTTTCTGACCTGGCATTAAGTGAAAGATCACAGGCAGGAGAGCTCTATGGAGAGTTTGGATAGAAAATGTAATCTATTTTAATTTCAACAAAGAAATAGACTGAAAAAGGTCACGCTACAAAGAAGTGATCTTGACACTCTTTGTTATATCAATTCAACTTGTATCTTCTTAAATCTAAACATACCTGTAACCATAAACTATTGGATGACCTTCACTAGTCTGAAATGTATTTTCTAAAAATCGAGTCAAGAAGCCTGCACCAATGAGACTCTGGAGACCGTGAGGCTTCAGTCAGGGCAGAACCAAAAAAACACCCAAATTAAAGTAGCACGCCCTGCAGCTGCTCGCTAATATTTCACCGTATCAATATATTAAACCCAGAGCCTTTTTCATCTGGACTGTGGCGTGTCAGTGAGTGAACGAAAGTTGAAGAGATTTTCACAAGTACATCAAATTTACTGCGACAAAGAGGAATGTCAAATATCTCCTGGAGACAATAAACGCCCGTTCTCTTCTAATGTTCAGCCGTAGCATGTAAGATGCTATGGCTAGCTATGATGCTAAGATGATAATGCCAGATTGTTAAAAAGCAGTTCAACATGCTAGCTGTTAAGAAACTAAAAGCCACTTTTTTGATTAGGGAGAGCTGAAAATATTTATTTTCTATCAGTCACAGTAACCTTTGGCTGTCTAATAACATGGATTTATTGGTGTCCTTATATGCCAATTCACACTGATGTATTCAGTAAAAAGTCTTAACATAATGAGCTGAAATAATTAAAAAAAAATTCTTACATGTAAAAGTTTAAATTCTGTATTTATTATTATTATTATTTATCTGATAATGTTATCCACAAACAATTAAATACAAACCAGTGCTTCTTAGCCAAGTTTACTTCCTGTACACTGGCATTGTAACATGTAGGCTGCTTGCAGGACAAGCACAGGTGGAATCAATAATCTTAATTAACCTCTCAATTAAGTAAGTCACTCCAATTTCAGAGGCTGCCAAGAGATATTATTTATGGCAACAGACATGCAAGTATTTTTACAATTTAAATGTACTTGTACCTCCCTCGACTATTTCAATTGTATCATATCTGAAAATGATAATGCATAATTAGTGAGTTTAAAATGTACTTTTTTTTCCAACTATTTTTATCAGAAAACTGTAGTTTTACTTGCGGTAGAGGCTAGAAAAAAAGACACCTGAATATTGATGATATTTGTCATCATTCGCCAAAGCCTTTTAATTAGATATGTTCAATAAACTGTATAATTTTCTGATAACAATTGCTTGACAATGAGGGTGATGTACTTTGCTGAGGTATTTTTGTTTATTGAATGAATTGAGCTTGCAATGAATTTTGTCTCTACATTGTGACATTGATCACATGAAAAAGTTGAGCAACAGAAACTTGAAAATGGCAAAGCATTTGTTACTCAAACAGCGGTATCTTATGGTTTACAGGCTTAACACAGCAATTCAATATTTACATTTTTTCTTCTTCTCCAAACCCTCCAGGTTCTACCGTTTGATGACAATGTGTGTCTGCGTGAGCCCTGCCAGAACTACATGAAGTGCATTTCCGTACTGCGCTTCAACAGCTCCGCCCCCTTCATCTCCTCGCCCTCCATCCTGTTCAGGCCCATACACCCCATTGCGGGCTTACGCTGCCGCTGCCCAGTAGGCTTCACAGGGGACTACTGTGAGACGGAGATCAACCTGTGTTACTCCAACCCCTGCCTGAATGGAGGCGTCTGCGCCCGCAGAGAAGGAGGGTACACCTGTATCTGTCGTGAAGACTTCACTGGTGAGTAGGAATGGGATTGTGCTACTGTGGCAAAGCTGAGGTGATTTACACCAATATTTTGCCTGTTCTTGTAATCTCCTAATGTTTTTCTTACTCTATGTGCAATAATCTGATTGTGGGTACCTTTATGCCTGCTGTCATGGGTTGATGGAACATGTGGTGTCTTGGTAAACTTTGAAAATTTAAGAGGAGGTCTTGTGAGTTTTGCAATTAGATATTAAGGATAGGCAAAAGTTTGTTTTAATGAACCTATTGACAGGTTTTATATTATACACCTTTATGTCTGTGGTTAGTGAGAATCTACTGAAGTGACCACACATCTGAAGAGATTTACATCATGGATAGTAGATGAAAGAAAAGGGTGGGATGCAGTGAATGCATTTCTGTGTTTGTTGGTATTTGGTGTAGTCTTAAACTTTGCGCTGGTAAACTTAAACTGACTGACGTTGCTCCTTTGTGTCCCAGACTGAATTCATTTTTGATCTGCTCTGTTTTCGCTCTTTTGTCATGTTGAGTTGAACAAGAAAACACTCTCTCTGCCTCCTGGGACCTCTTCCTCCTCCTCTGCTCTCTACCTGTTTTTTTAGTCTTTTACCATACGACGCACACAAACACATACCTCCAGTGCTGCCACCACAGACTCCTCACTCTGTTTTACTGTCACCAAACTAATTTCACTCTTTCACACACATTTAATTATTTGCTTCCCAATACACTAGACTCATTTCTCCCTCTTTCAGTCTCCCTCTCTTTCTGCCCCTACATACTGCTGCATTGCTTCCCTTTCCAAGCCACTGAGTGGATATTGGAGAGGATAGACCTTATGAATGTCAGTGTGTGTCTGGGGGATATTTCACATAGCCTTTTATTTGCAATCAAAGGGAGCTGGGGGTAAGAAGAATCACTTTCCTTCACGAGTAAGACTGAGTGTTTTCTGAACTCCCACAGAGACAGACAGAACGAGAGATGAAGAGAGAGAGGAAATTAGTGTAGGGAAAATTGAAGTAGAAAGATGGTAGAAAGAATGTGGGAGGGAGTGAGAGAGACAGAGAAAAGACTGGTTGGAAGACTGTGAAAGAAAGATAGAAAGGAGTCTGGAAGATTTGACACAATAAAAGGAGAAAAGTCAAAATTGGGAGAGCTGGGAAATTGATCTTATTAAGGATTGTGATACATTTGATACAAACAAACTTTGAACATTTCTAATCAATATGGATGGATAGAACAGCATTTCACATGGCAGAAATAGCCAGAGTTTGTGTGTAATTTTTTGCTGGCACATAAAGGGCAGACAGTAGTTTACACCCACGTCCCACTTCAAAGCTTTGTTGAAGCTGCCACTGACGGAGAAGAATGTCTGCTGTGAAAGAGAAACGAGCTGGGGAGCACTTAAAAACGACAATGAAAGTGATAACCTGTTATCCTCTAGAGATAAGGAAACTGTTGACAGATCAAGTTAACATGATCTAACATATAAAGACGTGTTACAGAAACTAGGCATCCAGCCCCTCTTGATATCCTGTGTCTAAAAATAGAATTGACTTTACTAACTCAATAACCCGGTCTCTTTGTTTCAAAGAGGGGGAGACCTTTGCAGATGATCTGGCTTTCATTTAGAACTTTGTGGAAGATGAATAAACCCACAAACAAGCTTAGCTGATGGAAGCCACAGCCTCCCTTCTGAGGTAAAACCAAAAAATGTGATAGTTATATGGCAAAAGCATGAATGACAATAAAATGTGGCAGTTCTATGGCCAAAGCTTGAGTGACAAATGATGTGTCTCTACTTGAATGTATTTCTGTCTGTATCTAACAGCTCTGACTCACTAGACATCTATTGCACACTTGGACGTAGCTCAAAATGGCTAACTGTCAGTCAGAGATTTAATAAGACCGATCTGGCACAGTTTGACATGCAGTTAACCTGCAGGATCCCTGTTCACACAGGGTGAGGAGGGGAGGACAGAGACAGAGGAGACAGACGATTAAAGAGTAAATAATTGATCTCAAGAGTTGAAGCAAAGAGAGAATACTTTAATGCTGGACAGAAGGGAAAAAAAGAAGAAATAGTGAAAAATGTGACAGTTAAGGGAAAGTGTACAATCTGCAGAGTAGGAACGATGAGGGCAATGGCAAAGAGTAGATGAGTATGACAGCAATATGAGACACGAGGGAGACGGATGAATTCAGAGAGAATAACATGGAAGGAGGACTTCAGGGGGAAAATGGGGCGAGAGACATCTGAGAGCAATGAAAGAGAGCGAGGTTGAGGACATGAGGTGAGGGGTATAGAGTGAGGGAAATCAGATGGATTCAGGGTACTCGGTGTTATGCCTCTCCTGCGTAGGCGTCGGGCGTTGCAGTGTCTTGTCAAGGCCTGGGGCTAGTGGGAGGAAGAGGAGGAAGAGGAGGACGAATAAACAGGGACGAATTGATTCTGCAACACATAGAAATCTCCAGACATCTCCCAACCAAGTTTGCTCTCTCCCTCGTTCTTTTTTTTTTTTCCCATTTTTTCATCCAACCTGCTTTCATCCATCCCCTCATGCTCTCTGTAGCTTTGAATTGCTTTTCCATGAAACTCAATGGATTGCTCTCACAGGCAGCAGTAAAGCCTCGGGTTTGAAATGAGTCTGGAAAGTCTCTTTTTCCATTGACTGATTAATATTTTCAGCTTCCAGCAAACCTGAGTAAAATTACATTTATAAACAACTGTTTGGGTTTTTCTTTGGGCCACACAGGCCAGATGTTTTATAAAAAATAGAATCTGAATCATAAAGGGAGAAGAGTGTAGATCAGTTTCCTCAAACAAGTTTTTGTTTGGTAGCTGGTGGGGATCCTCTTTTGTAGGACGTGCTTTATCAGAAAATACAAGTAATAGAAAAACTATTTTATAAAATATTAGAGTACAATTTGTGATATAGTAACTATATAATTTGTTGTACAATAAATATAAAAACTAATGACACACAACTTCAACTGAACCTGATTAAAAATAATATATATTGAAACACTGAATGCATCTAAAAAGTATCTGAAAACCAGTTTAAGCCTTAACTAAATACGTATTTATTAAGAAGAGGTTTCAAATATAATGCTGACTCAGACATTTGCATGTGAATGTGTGAAATGTACTGTCTCTTTAAGGGTTTGACTGAACCTCTTCACCACTAAGACAAAGACCGAAACACAAAGTATTCTATGATGCCTCTAACCTCAGGCTAACTCTTCTCTGAAACCCGCTTTTAACCCTGGGAAAATGAAGAGTCTTTGATCGAGGGTTAAAAACATCTTTGAACATGAGGCAGTGAACCCTGCTGTGTGGAAGGTTAACACTGCTTGCATGGGGCCAACCACAGAGATGTAGAAAACTGCACAAGACTCTGTTCCAGCTGGGGTCATATATCGTTCAGCCTCAACACAAGGGCTAATATGAAACCATCCTGAGTGTTAACCCCAGTTTAAACTGTCTAGTTTACACAGATTCCTCTTTGGTGCTAGAGTGGGCCTACTTGTTGAAAATGTTCACACCTGTGAACTTAAAGGTAGTTTTGTATGTTGCAGCGTATAAAAACAACATTTAAACTGGGCAGAATGTACTGTGTACATTACTGCATGTATCCACACTGTAAGCTAACGGCTTAACACCTGCCTGTCCAAAAGAAATAAGGCCAATTCTGTGGCTGCGGTTGAAAGACACCTTTGGTTCACTCTCTTTTGGAACAAAAGTTATCTGCTTGGCATTTTACCTCACCTGCGGATGTCCATCATGTTTGCTGGTTTGAACTGCATCCAATCGTTGAATTGTAAAGCACTAGTTTGTTTTTCTGACCTTATACCTTTTGGACCTTAAATTACAAATTGATGCTCTTTAAATATAATTCTAAAATCATACCTTTAGGGTAAATGATTAAAGTAACACTTATATTACATTATTATACACACACAGACCCATCTATTTTCATGGTCCCTTAAAGAAACTTTGATGATGTCTCTCCTCACTCTAATGAATCTAAACTGAGCTGAAGCTCTGGGGTCCTCACTCTTTCTTGCTAGGCATTTCAACATTTCTGAGCTTTAGTGCTCAGTTGCCATTGGAAAGCTGGAATGTGAATGTGAATGTGCACCCTAATTTACCTTGAAAAAAAATACCTTCATGGCAAAAAAAGAAGCTCCCTGTGTAACAGCAGACAGAAAGAGAATATATCAGACTTTTTTTTTCACAAACTGAAGGAACAGTGACTGAGCTGTGATAAAGAGAAATGCACATTATTTAGATAATAGTTTGATAAAATGGAATAAGCCCTGAGAACTGAAACAGAAAATGGGAGACTCAGGAAGAAAGGCATAAATGCGGACTAAATTAGTCTGAGATAAGTTAAAATGGGGAGACATGAAGAGAGAGGGCAGCTGTAAATGAAATAGATTGGTCTGGTGTAGCAATATGCTCTTCACTCAGGGAAAGATGAGAAACAGTAGAAGAGTAAAGGAGAGAGACGGAGAAGAAATGCGGTAGGCAGAGGTGAGATTAATTTTTGATGTGATAAAGCGGATATGCATGTTATAATGTGAAATGTAATCCAGCAGATAAAAGGAAACAGATCACACATACAGATATAAATGAGCTTAAGGTAGCTCAGACTATGTGAGGCATAATGCCGGTGTATATGTAACATTTAGCCTTATGAAGAAGTTGTGAGTGGTTTGAATGTTAGATTCTAAAGGAAAGAGAAGTGAGGGGCTGGGGTGGGTTTTAGTCTGTTGTAATGGGATTGAAGGTTGGGCTTTGAGACTAAATTAGTTTGGTTTTAAGGAAGACAGAGAGAATGAAGAAGTGGGGAGAAAGGGAGCATGAAGTGAGGGTGAATTAGTTTGGGGATGGGGTGAATGAGTGAGGAGTGAATTCAGAGAAAGTATGTGGGAGACATTTATATGGAGCTAAACCATTTTTGATGAAGTAAATACAAAACTTTATTTACAACCACAAGGGAGCTTAGTTT